CATCTCCCTGGCCCCAAATAATTTCTTTCATTTACATCTGCCTTGGCATACTGATAGTTGAAACCCCCGGTTCTGGGAGCACATGTGTGTATGTGTGTGTGTGTGTGTGTGTGTGTGTGTGTGTGTGTGTGTGAGAGAGAGAGAGAGAGAGAGACAGAGACAGAGACAGAGACAGAGACAGAGAGACAGAAAAAGAGACAGAGACATGCACACACACACACACACACACAGAGAGAGAGAGAGAGAGAGAGAGATTCTTGACAGAAGTGATCGTATTGAACATATTTCCTGACTGGAGTAGCAGTGTACAGGGACAGACTCAGCTTGAATATTTTGATCTGCAATTCTGAGTGACAGGTGCACTGACAGAAGCTTGAGAGAATTAAGAAGTGAAGTCTGGGCTCGTTTGCATGTTTGTGGTTTGAGGCATGGCTGTGTGTGTGTGTGTGTGTGTGTGTGTGTGTGTGTGTGTGTGTGTGAAGGAGGTGTTCTGTGGGAGGGCACAGGTGGCCCTTTCAGTTTTAATCAGAGGCAGGAAAATCTTGTCTGGGCTGGTGGCAGATGCCTGAACTATTTTTGACTGGTCCAGGAGGGCTGGAGAGAGGATCCTGGATAAAACTGGAGGTTGCAGGGGCTGGGGGGTGGTAGGCAAGTACAACCTAATTAATCCCCCCAGACTTAATCTGAACTTCCTTTGAGACTGACTCAGAGGTGCTGTGCTGAGTGCATGGACGGACACTCGTAGAGAGACATTAGGGAGACAGGAACTCTCTCTGAGGCCTGTGTGTCTCATTCTGGGAGGTCAGCCACCACGCCAATCTCCTCTCTAGCACGAGCGTTGCTATGCCCCAGATCACAGCAATCTTGCATGCAGGAACACGGGCAACACATTTAGGTCAGTAAAACCAAGACCCTTGCGTGGCTGAGGCAAATCATGTCATGCTCAAAGAAACTTCCCGAAGCCTGCAGGAGTGAGTGAAGACCAAGCAGGCGAAATGATATCCTTTGGGGAGAGCAGTGAAGGAGCTGGGCCTGGAGAAACTGCACACAAGCCTTTATTTGCAGAGGCACCAGGGAGATTGCTCAACAGACTCTTTTGGCAGAGGGTCCCTCTCCTCTTCCCTGGAAGCTTTTTTTTTTTTTTTTTTGCTTTTTGGGTTACACCCAGCGATGCTCAGGGGTTACTACTGGCTCTGCACTCAGGAATTACTCCTGGCAGTACTAGGGGACCATATCGGATGCCGGGGATCGAATCCAGGTCAGCTGCGTGCAAGGCAAATGCTCTACCTGCTGTACTATCACTCCGACCCCTCCCTGGAAGCTTTTAGTTCAAGCTGGAGTCAACTCTGGCTGAAGTGAGCTGTTGACTGGGCACTTGGTGAGGAAAGCCGCCACTTCTGCTCAAGTTTCCATTAGCTGAAACAAATAAAAACACCTATCAGTGGGAGAAGAGCTGAAGCAGGGAAAGTAGCAAAGAGAGCCCAGTAGGATGGAGGGAAGGACAGGGCATGCATAGAGAGAACACCTTCCCTGGCGCCCATTTGGGTATCAATTTTTGTTCTTGCTTATTCATGTGGGAGCTTGGGCAAGTGACTTGAGTAATCTGAGGTTTTGCTTCCTGTCTGCAATAGGGGGGATAATGATATCACCCTGCCAGGGCTTGGAAGAGAAGAAAGATTGTATTAGTACCAGCAATCACTCAGTAAATGGATCTCTAAGCTCAGGCATCATTCCCAGCAAGGCTCAAGGCCCACCCATCCTCCTACATGTCAAGCATGCGTGCCAGTCCTGTGTTCCATCTCTGTGGCCTGGGACTTGTTTTCAAAGTAATTTCAGCCTTTTGGGTACATTTTTAAAAAGATTTTGTGCATTGGTTCAAAAGGCATCTGAGGAAAAATCAGCATTGTAAGGAACACCTTTTATATTAATTAATTAATTTTGGGTTGGGGTCCCACCCAGAGGTGTTCAAGGGTTATTTCACTCCGGGTGGTCCTCAGGCAGTAAACTGGGATCAACCACATGCAAGGCAAGCACCTGATGCCTGTCTTATCACCTAATGTTTATAAGCAACTGAAATCAATCCAATAAAAAGGCAGTTGGCAAGGAGCCGGATGGCACAAGGAACTTTTGAAAGGAGGCAGGGTTAGGTCAGGCCAAGCAGTTCTCTTGTCTTCTGGGAAAAGAACTAGCAGAGAGTCAGGCGGGGCCACGGGGCCAGTCCCAGCACCAACCCAGCACCACTCTATGAGCATTAATCCTCTCTGCTCCGGGCTTTCCTCTTGTCTATGAATCGTGAAGGACTGGACCACAAAATTGCTAAGTTATCTTAGAGCTGATATTTTATTTCATATGCAATATTTGGAGAGTAATATAAGGGTAATATAAGGGTTTGATTAAAAAAAAAGAAAAGCTTAAACTTTCTTAAAGATCTGGTGAAGAGAAGGGACTGGAGAGATAGCATAGCGGGTAGGGCATTTGCCTTGCACACGGCCAACCGGGGTTCTACTCCTAGCATCCCATATGGTCCACCAAGCACCAACAGGAGTAATTCCTGAGTGCATGAGCCAGGAGTAACCCCCGTGCATTGCCGGGTGTGACCCAAAAAAGAAAAAAAAATCTGGTGAAGAGGGGTCATAGACATAATTCAGTAGTAGAGCACTTGCCTTGCATGTGTGAAGACTTGGGATTGATCCCCAGCTGACAAAAAAGTCTTTGAGGGATATTAAGCCCCTAGGCACTGGCACATGTACCAGGAGTCTATAGAAAAAGACCTCCAACGTATGTATGTGTGTATGTATGTATATATGTATGTATGTACAAGGTAGGTCATACAGGGATGTACATAGTGTGTTTCTGATTCCTCACCTCTCTCCGGTAAGAAGTCTGAAGGATTAAATCGCTGCTTTCCCAGCATCCCTGTAGCAAAGAAAGGCTGTATGAGCAGGCAGGGTCTGGTTAGTGAGACATAAGGGAGGAGTCATCGCAAGGCTTCTCAAAATGTCCTTCACCGACAGAAATGAGATCCGTGCAGGAGAAGGCCTTTTTTTGCTGCTGCTTCTCCCTTCCCCTAATTCTTATCAAGACTGAGGTCCCAGGGAAGGTGTTTCACAGCATGGGATCAAACATGAAGATGAAGAGTCAGCATGCCATGGATAATATATCAGAAAAATAAAAAGAGCTTGAGCCCTACGGACATCACTGTCACTGAGTGGCTCAGCCCAGGCACCCTAGGCTCTTCAGTAAATAGTTAGTGCCCTTTGTGCTTGGCGGGGGGGAGGGGGGTGTCTGTTGGTTAGCAGCAGCACCCCTCTCCCCTCTGCCCATTGCCCCCCTCTCTGAGGATATGGTTAGGAAAGAGGTTCTCCCAGGTCCCGCTTCAGACCTGTGGAACCAGAATCCTTTCTTTGGAGGTGAGCCATGCTAAGGGGACACAGGGGCCCTGCCTCCCTGAGCCCCACTGAGCATTGGCTCAGTGCAAGGGTACGAGCATGTGATGCTGCCTGGGCCCTGTGGGGCCCCCACAGCCATACCCAGTGTTGGTGGTGTCAAGGAGCCTCCCCGGCTGCATCCAGGAATGATTTGGGATCATGTGGTATCTGAAATCAAACTCCCAGGAGGGCACATATGAAGCACTGTCCTGAAACTGAGTCTTTATTTTATTTTTATTTATTATTATTATTTGCTTTTTGGGTCACACCCAGCGATGCTCAGAGGTTACTCCTGGTTCTGCACTTAGCACTCAGGAATTACTCCTAGAGGTGCTTGGGGAACAATATGGGGTGCCGGGGATTGAACTCGGGTCAGCTGCTATACTATCTCTCTGCCCTCAGGGTCTTTATTTTATTTTATTTATTTACTTTTCTTTTCGGGTCACACCCAGTGATACACAGGGGTTACTCCTGGCTCTGCACTCAGAAATTGCTCCTGGTGGTGTTCGGGGGACCATATGGGATGCTGGGAATTGAACCTGGGTCTGCTGCATGCAAGGCAAATGCCCTACCTGCTGTACTATCGCTCCAGCCCCAGGGTCTTTATTAAAAAAAAAAAAAAAAGCTGAGCTTTCAAGTGTTTTGGGTGCACTTAAAGCAGAGATTTTCAACATTTTCTTCTTATTTACATTATCTTGAGATGTTTTTTGTTTGTTCATTTGCTTTGGTTTTGGGGCCACATCTGGCAGTACTCAGGGCTTACTCCTCATTCTGCACTCTGAGGTCACTCCTGCTGGGCTTGGGGAGCAACAAGGGATATTGGGGTTCAAACCTGGGTCGGTCCCATGCAAGGCAAAAGCTTAACACTGTACTATCCCTCCAGCCTCCAGAGCTTTTGAAATCCTTAATGTCTTTCTAATATTCCAAACAACAGAGTGGAGGGCCAGACCACAACATGACAATGACACCAGAATTACCTCTAAGGACTGGGCGCAGCCTTCCGCAGCTTAAAGTTTGATCAGGTGATTTCAAGGTGCAACCAACTTTGAGACTAGTGCCTTAGTGTTTTAGGAACACCATACAATTGGGGCATTCTACTGATGGTAGTGAATACCAGACAGACCCGAAGCCGCACATGGGTATATCTATGCAGGCTGATATCTGTACTTTTAAATACGCAGAGATACTTGTATCTGTATATACATATATAATAGTATTCACTATGTACTTCTGTTATTTGCGTATTTACCTAAATATGCAAAGTCCTAGAAGAATGTAGCTAGTCTAGAGGAACGGGTAGGTGTGTGCTGAGGTTGGGGTGGGAGTGATTTAGTTTTATCTTAATTACTTCTAAGTGTTTAGAAGTTCGTTTGCTTGGAGGCCACAGCTGGTAGGACTTGGAGGCCTCTCTCTGACCAGTGCTCCAGGACCATGTGGCACGGGGGATGAAACTTGGAGCGCCCCTATATGGTCCAGTCCTTTGAGTGATCGCTCCAACCTGGGAAATTCCATTTTTTTATGCTGCCAGGCATGTCCTCCCTATTTCATAAGGAAAGAAGAAAGCCAACGAACCCGCTCTCCTCCCTGTCCAGCAGCGAGTGGCCGGCCGCCACCTGGCGCTGCAGCTGCTCCTTGTGTGCCAGCAGGTGCTCCCGGGTCCTCTGCTGCTGCTCAGCCTCTGCCTGCACCTCCCTGAGCTCTGCCTCCAGCCTGCCCATCACGGCACCCAGGTTCTGCAGTTCCATCTCATGCCAGTGCTTGGCATCCTGCAGGGTGTGCTCCAGGCCTTGTTTCTGCAAAAACAGTGAACCAGAACAGGGAGGGGTCACCGCTGCTCTGAGCCCCAGGTGCAGGAGGGCTGGTCACAGATGTACATGGTCAAAGGTCCCTGACACTGCAGTAGATACGATGTCAACACTTCCCCAGGGGCTAGTAGGTCGGGGAGCTAGTGGGAGGGAAGGCAGAGTTGCAGGCTCCAGGGTCCAAGATCAGATCCTTAATTCCAGACAAAATGTCAGGGTCTAGTGAGAAGAGGGTCAGGGGTCCTAGAGACAGGACAGTGGGACTTATCTAGTCACATCTCCAATCATTTCCCTCCAACTTTCTGTCCCTGGAAATGGTAATTTTGGTAGCTGCAGGGTATTTGGGAGAAGAATCATGGCTTTTATCTTGCCTAAAATAGCTTATGCAGAGAGAACCACCCCCCCCAACCCCTAAATATTAGGATGTTGGTTAAGGGTGATACTCAGTGACTAACATGGCTTCGCCAAATCCTACCAACTGAAAAGCCAAAGCAATGTCTTTCAGACACTGTTTCAATTAAAGCACAGTTTAGGCCATGTCCTGAGTTTTCTCATCTCAGATTGTTTTCCTGCCTCTCCCCGTTGCCATGACAACGAGACCAGTGGAGGGAGGAAGATGCAGCCGGGTGGCAGTGCCAGGGTGGTGAAGCCAGGCCTCTGCTGCGCCGAGGTCCTGCAGCCCCTGGGGTCATGCTGACAGAGACAGAGGACCCAGGGGAGGCGACACCAGAGGGAAGGGAAAGGGGCTGGGACGGAAAAGGCTGTTTTGACAGGATTTAGAAGAGCCTGTGGTTCTAAGTCCCGCGGGAGGTGATGCTGAGGGCTTGGTGACAGTGCTGGATTTGGGTGGCCACAGAGATAAGGGCATGTGAGGAGTGGTTTAAGCAAAGGGGACACCACAGTGGTACTGGAACAGCACCGGGTGCATGGGAGAGGGGGCTTTGCACAGTTGTACCAGGCAATCCCGATAAACACTCCAGTGTACACATCACAGTTGTGGTTTGAATCTGAGCACATGATCGCCAGGAAGAGCCATGCTTAGGACCCTAGTAGAACCTTAGTCCATCTCTACTGCACTGCTATAGTTATTTTTTTTTTTGGCATTTTGAGTCACACCTGGTGATGCACAGTGATACCCCAGGCTCTGCACTCAGGAATTCCTCCTGGTGGTGCTCAGGGGACCATATGGGATGGTGGGGGTTGAACCCAGGCTGGTTTCAAGTAAGGTAAATATCCTAGCTGTTGTACTATCGCTCCAGCCCCTGCACTGCTATACTCTCAACAATCATTCGAATTAACAACGAGAATTAACAATGAAGGAACCTGCACACAAACTACATTGTGTGTGAGGAGTTAACTAAATGTTGGGGCAAGCTGATGTCACCAGAACTAGTTTAAGAAGAGCTGGGGCAAGTTCATGCCAGACAACCGTCTTAACAGGACCAGGCCAGACACCTCAGCAGGTCACTAAGAACCAGAACAACCTGCTTGAACGTTGCCCTTTTACCTGCTTTGACTTGGTGACCTGCACCCGACGCCAGCCTCTTACTCCTTCATCTCTCCAGCTCACCTTCCGTTCACTCTCCATTAAACCCTCTGCCCCCTGCTTCCTGGACACACCCTTTTGGTTTTTAACCTGAACCCAGTGTGCTCTGAGCTGCAATTCTCTGGCTTTGCCCAAATGACTGTGGTTCGCCTCTCTGAATGGCCGCCTAAACATTGAGTTTTCAAACCTTAAGTTGAGCTTCCCAGAGCAGCACCCACATCAGGGGTTCTGACACTCTTATGGAACTTCAGGCACACTCAGAAAAAGGGAGAGCAAGGAAAGTGGAGTGGAAGGAAGGGGAAGGGAACAGAGCAGGAGAGTGTGGCAGCTGGAGTCTGGCTCCAGGGTGGAATTGCACTGCTGAGCCAGGTAACCTGGAAGCAGGGGTGCTGCGCGCTGCCAAGCCCCACCAGGGACAGAGACCAGCAGGTGCGAACTCCTGGGCCGCATGTCTTCTCCTGGGCTGAGGCAGTCCTTCCGGAATGCGCAGCTGGAAAGAGGCCCTGTGGGCATTTGCTGTGGACAGTCACAGCTCACTCTGGTGCAGAGACTTCCAAAGGCCCTCACCGTGTCTTCTACACTTGGATTCAGTGCTGCTCCGATCTCAAGGCCTTTCTGCAGTGAGGTAGGAATGCTGCGAACTATAACTTGTAAGAGGATGCACAGAGGAGAGAGAACTAGACACAAGAAATGTCAGGATCCTTCTGGACTCACTCACCAGGGCCCGCAGGGACTCTGTCTCGGCCCGGAGGCGCTGCACTTGGCTGGCGGTGCTCTGGAGGTCCATGCTGAGGGTGGCGGTCAGCCTCTCTTCCTGGGTCTGGTGGACAACCTCTGCCTGTTGCTGTGGAGAGTCAGGTCTGTGAGCTGTGGGGACTGGACAGTCTGAACGCATGCTTCCTTTTTGCACTTTCCACTGACCTCTAGCTCACTGCCTCTAATTTAGAGGAAACAGACATCAGATTATCAAATAGATGTTGCGTGTACGGGTGCACCAATATTTAATTTGAAATTATAGTGCATGCAGACAGAATACAATTGTAAAGATTGTTCTAATGGATATGGAGAGAAGACTCGAAACTCCTTGTGCCCTTATTGTCTGATTCTCTTGTAACACTTCCAGAAATATCTCATGTTTACAGATAAACATGTATCATCATTCCTCCTTGGCTCTAACACTTACTATATCTTAGAAACTTTCCTAAAAACAAGGAGCAGAAGGATTGGCCAATGGTTGGAAGCTTGCCACAAGTTTGTAAGGGGTGAAGGGCAGTTAGGATAAAGAAGGGACCACTATGATAAAAATGACCACTTTGGACAGGAACTGAGTGTTGAAAGTAGATAAAGAGATAGACCTGATAACCTTTAAGTATCTGTACTACAAACCATAAGGCCCAAAAGAAGAGAGAGAGAGAGAGAGAGAGAGAGAGAGAGAGAGAGGAAAAGTGCAAAGCACCTGCCATAGAGGCAGGGTGGGGTCAGAGGGAGGGAAACTGGGGACATCTGCATCTGTGGTAGGAAACGGACACTGCTGAAGGGAAAGGTTTTGGAACATTGTATGACTGAAATCCAATCATGAACAACTTTGTAACTGCATATGTCACTGTGATTCAATTAGTAAATAAAAAAAACTATTTTTTTTTAAAAGAAACTGTCCTATATCAGTCTGTGTAGGTCATTTGCTATCTTTTTTTTGGGGGGGGGGGGGGAAGCGGGAGTTCTTAGCAGTGTTTAAGTACTTAAGTCTGGGGCTGGCTCCTAGAGATACTCAGCCTGGTGATGGGATCAGAATTGCTAGGGGACCACTAGGTTACATTCTGTGCTGCTGGGGAACACGTGCAATGGCCAGGGTTGAACTTGGGCACTGTGCACGCAAGGCAAGAGTTGCAACCCTTTAGATCCTCTCCCTGGCCCCTTGTGTTACTTACTGCATACTGCATACTGTTGCCTTGTTTGGAAGTAAGGAAAGGAGCACTCAGAAGCTCCCACTAGTGGACACTCTGTTCTCCCTGTCGGTGTGTTAGAGCGGATGTGCAGAGAACAGCCTGGCCTTCCTGACTCTGTGCAGGAGTCAGCTCTTGCAGCGGAGCTGCTGAGTCAGAGGCATGCACCTGTGACTAGGAATGCTGCCAGACTGTAGCTGCTCCTGGCACTGTCAGAATGTGCCAATTGCCTCACATCTTCCTCAAACAAGCAGCCACACAACCTGATCTGAGAGACCCTGTTTCCCTGTAAAAACCCGTCTGGCCACAACTGGGAGGACCAGGAAAAGGTCTGAGCTTTGAACCGTCTCCTACTCTGATCCCTCCTTCCACATTCAGGGATGCAGGTTTTGGTATTTCTCGATGCTGAGCAAAAGGGAAAATACAAAAGTTCACCCTCAACGGTCTTCAGTGTGTTCTGATAGAAGCTCTCCAACTCAGAGGTGGGGAAGGAAAAACTGCTTTTCTTTTGAAGAAACTGGCATTCTGGAGTTACATTTTTTGCTGCATGTGAATGCTTGACAGACCCCAAGCCTACACCTTGGCCACAGCTGACTGTGCTCAGGGCTTCTTCCAGGGTTGTGATCAGGGATCACTCCCGGTGGGGCTCAAAGAACCCTGTGTGGTGCTGGAGGTCAAACCCAGGTTGGCTGTGTACAAGGCAAACACCTTACCTGTAGGACTATATATTTCAGGCTGTGTTTGAGATAATTTATATAGATGATACCTCTGTGGGACAAAATAAGTTCATCCTCTACAACTCTGCACTCTTCACATCAAGTTTAGTCATCTGAAATCAGTCCCAGTGAGAATGCTTGTGTCATGGAAACTGGCAGACACAAATCAAAGACTGAGCTTTGTTGGTTGCCTCGATCTAAGACAGGGATGCAGAAAATGTTCCTAATGCAGATTAGACTTCAAAGTAGGTCATGTGTGTGGCTGCTGCGCTCGGAATAGCACAAAAATTAGAATGAAAATTCTTTCAAAGTTTGACAGCTATGACCTAATTTGCCAAAATGTTATATCATTGATGAATGAACTCGTTAAGGTCATGAAAATAACAGCTACAATTCATATCAAAATCTTCCTCATTAATCATTGATGTGAATGGCTCTCTCTTTAATCACATCAATATTCAAGGTGCAGTTTTTTTGTTGTTTTTCGCTTTTTTTTGCTTTGTTTTGTTTTTGCTTTTGGAAGGTCACACTTGGCAATACTCAGGGGTTACTTCTGGCTCTGTGCTCAGGAATTACTCCTGGTGGTGCTCAGGAGACCATATGGGATGCCCAGAATTGAACCCAGGTTAGCCACAGGCAAGGCGAATACTCTCCCCACTGAACTATCACTCCAGCCCCTCAAGTATTTTTATAGTCTGAAGTTGTGACACTACTGATGACAAAATTAAGTAAATGACTAGTGGTTTTGCAAGAAATAGCAGGTCATACTGAAGTTTTAAGAAAACAAAGTATTTTATCTTAAAACTTAGGTTACTTCTACACATATAAATAAATCAACAAATTCTTTTCTTTTCTCTTCATGTGGGGCTGTGAATTTGACTGATGCGTATGTCCCCAGAGAGCATTTTACTAATATATAGTGGGTAAAAGTCAGACAAATCCCAAGGACAGAAAACTTCAAATCCTGTTGGGCAGGTCTGGGGTAAAACTGCTGGCCAAAGCAATTACCACTGTCCCCCACATGCTTTGCCCTCCTCTCCACTTCAACGACAAGTGGTACTTACTGCCCTCTGAGGGATGAATCTCCTTGTATTAGTTTCATTAGCAAAATAGCATGCCCACTGTAGCCCCAAACACTATTGGGCAGCTCATATAGCTTTTCACAAATCTCCATACACACGTTCATATTCCAATTGATACTTGAATAACAAAGGCCCACTGTAGTTGTACTGGTTCAATCTGTGGGGTTTGTACTCCTGGATTTAACCAGTCACAGGCTGGTTTGTTGACTCTATGAATGCAGAACTCATAGATGGGAAGGGCTAATCGTAAGGGAATTTCACATCATTGGATTTTGGTTTTTGTGGGACGGGGATGAAGCTAAAATTATTTCCCAGAGGGCACCAATAGACAACTGTATTACCTTTTTTTTTTTTTTTTTTTTTTTTTTTTGCTTTTTGGGTCACACCTGGCGATGCACAGGAGTTACTCCTGGTTCACGCACTCAGGAATTACTCCTGGCAGTGCTCAGGGGACCATATGGGATGCTGGGAATCGAATCTAGATTGGCTGCATGCAAGGCAGCTGTGTTATTGCTCCAGCCCCTGTATTATGTTTTTGAGGGATAAAAAGTTATACATTGATTTTTGTTGTAGCCATTGTTTGGGGGCCACACCCAGGCCACTCCTGGTTCTGCCCTCAGGAATCAATTCTGGAGGTTCTTATGGGACTCTATGCAATGCCAGGGATCAAACCAGGCTTGGTTCCATGCAAGGTAAGTGTTGTAATTTCTGTACTCTTTTTCTTTTTCTTTTTGGGTCACACCTGGAGATGCACAGGGGTTACTCCTCACTCTGCACTCAGAAATTACTCCTGGTGGTGCTTGGAGAACCATATGGGATGTTGGGGATCGTACCTAGGTCTGTCACATGCAAGGCAAAGACCCTATCCGCTGTACTATCACTCCAGTCCTGTACTCTATCTTTAACCCTGTACATTAATTTTTGTCTTCTTTTGATTTGATTTTGGGGGGACCACACCTGGTGGTACTTAAGGCTTACTCCTGAATCTGCTCTCAGGGATGAATTCTGGCAGGATTAAGGAGACTATATGTGGTGCCTGGGATTGGACCTTGGTTGGCTGCATGCCAGGCAAGTTCCTTATCTGCTTGTATTATCTCTCTGGCCCCCTACACAATGATTTTTGATGATGTAGGGGTCTGTTGCCCCTAGCCACCACTTTGTTATAGGCTCACTGCATTTTTATTTAAACCAATTTACTCTTTGTAAATAAATTTAAAAAAAACTGTGGATAAATTCTTGGATTTTAATGTGTAGCAGCAGCATCTGGGATATCTTGTGAAAATGCAGACTCTGATCCTGGAGATCTTGAGGGGGTCTGGAAAACTGCATTATCAGCTCCACATTCTTCAACCAAGCTGACTAACTTCCTGGGAAATGGCATTTAAGACCCCTGCAGACTGTCGGGCCTGTGGAAGCTAAATTTTCTACTGCTAGATTCTGATAAAACTTGCCTTAGATAGAAAACAACTAAAAGTCAATACATCTTTAAAAATTGATGTGCTATTCTAACAAATACTGCCAAGTAGCTGAGTCCCCAAACCACTTTCTTTTTTGCTGCAAGGAAGATTACTAGGTGTTAAAGTGTTAAAAGACCTATCAACACCAACCATAAACTTGTTATATGGTTTAATTAACATTGAAAGAGAAAAGTTTGTTAATATGATCACTGTGAGTTGAAAAGTCATTATATGCTACCAGCAGCATCACCACCACAAACACCATCCCAAGTCAGAACACACTTGCCTCTCATTTGGGGACCGTTAACTTCCTTCACTTATCTACAAATTTGACAGGTACTTCACTCATCTAAAAGACTTTTGTCGAGGGCTGGAGAGATAGCTCTGCGGATAGGGCGTTTGCCTTGCACGTGGCCAACCCGGGTTTGATTGCCAGCATCCCATATGGTCTCCTGAGCACCTCCAGGAGTAACTCCTGAGTGCAGAGCCAGGAGTAACCCCTGTGCATCACCGTATGTGACCCAAAAAGCAAAAATAGATAAATAAATAAATAAATAATAAGACTTGTGGGACTGAAGTGATAGCACAGTGGGTAGGGCGTTTGCCTTGCACAAGGCCAACCCAGGTTCAATTCCCAGCATCCCAT